GCTGGAAATCAGCATGATGATGACCAGCAGCCCGTTCCGCACGGACAACCCGCGACTGCATAAACCACAGCAGAAAAATGAATGTGAATTCAGCAAACAAAGTCAATCATGCTACATCTGAAGTAGACTTCAAACCTCTTACCCTGCTGTGCTGAGCATGAGGTCAATGGCAGAAGGGATGGCACACAGGAGCCCTTTGGAGCCTTCGGGTGTAGCAGAGCCTATGCTTGCGAAAATCTCCAGCATCATCTGAGTGCCAGACTCAGAAAGAGGCAGACAGCCACCCACACTGCGAGGGTCATGTTTACTGGCACCTGTGATGACCTTCAGAGTCTGGAAAAAGCGATTCATTTTTATTTAAATAATCCTGCATCCTTCAAGTGTACACTTGCAATGTACTGACAATATGATTTAAAAAGGCGGTGCTCAACAGGGATGAGAATTGTAAAGAATGCAATGATTCTGGCTCCAATTCCAATTAACCCTACTTTAATTAATTAATTAATACTTAACCCTTGGGCACCCTTAGGGACATTTTTGTGTATTTTAGTTTTTTGAACGTTTTGGCTGCGTTAATACAAACAGCACACAGAAATGTGCATTTTTATTGGAATTGTCATATTTCACCCTCATTTGCTTTCATAAATCTATTTTACAGTAGTAACAAAAAACAATCAGGACACTCAGTTTCACTCAGGACAAAACATTCCCATTAAAACTACAATATTTAATGAAAATTAAACAAATATTATTTTTTGGAAAATAAAGGGGATTTAATATTACAATTAAAACATTGAAGAAATATTGTATGATTATTCCTTAAAAATAAGGTTTTAATAATTTTAGTAGTAGTAGTAGCAGTCTGTTACGTATATTCTGCTGAACAAAAGTAATATATTTCTGCCGCAATGTCTTCAAGTTAAACCAAACTTTTATTTTGATGGGTTGCCGTGAATACCATTACATTTCTGTGTGATATGAGGATAGTTTTACTCAAATGAAACGGTCAAATGCTCATGAAGTGACTCTCAGAGCAGTTTTGGAGGTGTTGTTCATGTATTTATGTCCTCATTTAGTGAGACAGCAGACATTAATATCACACTGTCATGCGCGTTTCAGTACAAGTAGTAAACAAACCCGCGCGTCTGCGCCATTCATTAACAGAGACACGCAGAATTCATATTTAAATAGTCGTTTTGCGGCTTAATATTTACAAATACTAGAGGGAGTGGGAGTGTGCTCACTTGTGTGCGCGCGCACGTTTGTGTGTGTGTGTGTGTGCGCGCGCGCGTGAGCATCGGGGCGGAACTCCGCTGTGCGCGATACA